ACACACACACACACACACACACACACACACACACACACACACACACAGGAATGAATGCAAGGGGATGCGACTTGTCAAAAGCCCTCACCTACAACACCACCATGATTTGAATTCTGTCAACTCTGTTCTATCATCTATATTCTATCCCACAAAAAAACAAACAAACAAACAAAAAACCTTTCAGAGGCAGAAGCAGGATTCAAGGTCAGCCTCAGCTAATTAGGGCTTGAGCCCAACTACATGAAACAAACAACAACCAAACCCTTCCCTGTGTCCCCTCAGGTCTACATATCCAGGTTCTGTTCGTGCAAGACTAGGGGAAAGTTCGTGCAAGACTAGGACCATCAAAATGGGATGAATTTTGCTCAGCTCAGCACTCTCCGTCTCTAAGGAGACTTTCCAGGCGGCCCTCCACCATTCTGCCATGCCCTTCCTCTGGCCTTACAGAGGACACATCTGTGACACAGAAGCGGCTCCAGATCACCTGGACACCGATGACTCTGCATGTATTAGTAACGCACGGAAGCAGCTTCATTCCACAGATGTTTACTGAACACAAGCGTATGCTCAGACCTGCCTGCGCCAGGCCCAGTGGGTGGACACCGAGATGACTCAGACACAACCTCAAAGGGCTTAACAGTTGGTAGAGGAGACAGACATTAGACACAGATACAATTTACTAGAACTCAAAACAGGATGACCTAAGTGATACTAAAGAGCTATGAGCAACATCCTCTAAGCAAACACCTCAATTACTTAATTGTTATTCTCAAGAGCTAGCCACAGAGGGTCAGTGCTGAAGGGTGTCATCTGCTCAACCTCCTCTTTTCCAGCAGGGAACCTGAGATGCAGAATGGGCGAGGACCTGTTCTGAAATCTTTCTAGTCTGACTGGCTGAGTCTAGATGTCACCGCCTTCTGAACCCCAGTTCTGGGATCGTTCCTCCCCTCTGAAGCATCAGCTCCAACAGTCCCATACCCCCATCAAACAGCTATCTGAGAAGGTTCTCTCTGCTGGACTACGGTGAGGCAACCCCGAGACAGTCGGAGCTCAGGAGGCAGAGTATGAGCCCAGCTGCCAACCCTGTCTTCCAATCTGCTGGGCTGAACGTCATTACTACACTCTGCCCCTCAAGTGATTCTAAAATAAATATGACGCTACTTGTGGAGTTGGGGTACAGACCTAAACACTTAATAAGCGAGCATTCTATCACTACAGTCAAATTTTCAAATATATTTTCCGGGAACTTTTGTTGTTGTTTGGTTAGGTTTTTGGTTTTATTGAGACAGGATTTTGTTGTATAGCAATGCTGTTCTATAACGTGCTCTGTAGACCAGGCTGGCCAGGAACTCAGGAGTATTTATTTATTTATTTATTTATTTATTTATTTATTTATTTATTTATTTATTTATTTTTATTTTAGTTCTCATCCAGCCCAGGCTGTCCTCGAACTTCTGAATCTCCTGTGTCAGTGTCCTGAATGCTAAGGTTGCAAGCATATGCTATCACACCTGACTTGGAACGGATTTTTTTTTTTAACTTTTTTTTATGCATAACATATTCTGCCCCCATGTGTGCCCACAGGCCAGCAGAGGGCACCAGATCTCACTATAGGTGGTTGTGAGCCACCATGGGGTTGCTGGGAATTGAACTCAGGACCCTGGGAGAGCAGCCAGTGCTCTTAACCCCTGAGCCATCCCTCCAGCAGCCCTGGAACGGATTTTTAATGGCTTCATCGAAGCCACTTGAATGTGAGGCACACTTCAGGACCCTGTTATTTCCGGGGCTCACAAGCCTCTTCCCACTAAACATTTGGTGTTCTGCCCTCCCAAATTCCCCCAGCCCCTTCTGTTCTCCTGCCGAGGGACCCGAGAAGAGGAAGAGGCTCCACAAACTGCCTGCGCGGTCAGAACAGGCTCCTGGCGGCCCTCAGAACGCGCGTTCATTCATTCAGCCAGCCGGAGTCTGGCTGTCTCAGCTTCGCTTCCTACACAGCAGCCCAGCACGAACACCTATTCTGTTACCTTCCCAGCCTCAGCGTGTGAAAAGAATTTTGTTGTTTTTACAAAAAGAAAAAAGAAAAACATTAATGCTTGAAACCATTAAACTGTCAGACCTGACCCTCTTTGCTTGGAGGTCCTCGGTAGGGACGGGGTGTCTGTGCGACGCTGGGCACGTGGGCGAGCACCCACCAAAGAACCCAGAACGCGGGTCCTCCAGCCAAAGTTCTGCGCCCAGGGCCCGCGTGAGAGCCTCAATTACTTAATTGAGTAATTGAGGGGGCGCCACGCGTGCTGCCCTCGCGGGTGTCCAGGGCCGGCGCCCGACTTCCAGCCTGGGCGCGGTCCTGCGCTGCAGGCAGCCGCGCGCCGGGCAGGGCGAGACCGCGGAGCCGGAGGCGCCCCACGTCTCCCCGCGCCCCGCCCTCTCCCCAGAGCCCCGCGCGGCCCGGGGTGCGGAGCCTCGACGTGACATCCTGTTTTCGGGGCCCGCGCGGCTCCGCCTGCGTCTCCGCTGACCGCGTCTTCCCGCGGGGTGCTGACTGCGGCCGCCCGCCCGCCCCCGGGGCCGGGGACCTTCCCGCCGCCGCAGCACCGCCCCCCGCCGTCTCCCGAGGCTCGGGGCGGGGGCGGGGACTGCCCCGGCCGGGCCCGTCCGGCCGAGCCCCCCGCCAGCCGGGCTGCTCTGGGCTCCGGGGCCGAGCGGGAGGGGGAGGACACGCGCCCGGCGCGGGGCCCCGCGGGGGGACCTGGGGGCTCGGGCCGCGCGGAGGGCGGGGCGCGGGGAGGCCCGACTTCCTGGTCCGC